ATGCTTGTGGATGTAGTTAGAAATATAGGCTTTACCATTTGAAATGTGATCCAAGCTAAGAAAGACAGGCACAGGTCAAACCCAAAACAATCCAAAAAGGCAAAAAGACAAATATCACAGAAACTTGCAAAAAAGATCCAAGGGGCGAAGGCAAGTCAAAGTCAAAGGTCCAAAAATACAGTCCCAACTGTTCACTTGTGGAGTCATTATAGAGAACAAACTAGACAGGATCAGGGCTTAGAGACAGAATGACTATTCTGATACACAGAATAAGTATATAGGAGTTATACAGTTGACCACAGTCTAACATAATACACAAAAGGCAAAAACAAAAGAGAACGCACGGTAGCTCCTGGGAAAGAAGTACTACCTTGCTCTTTTTTAGTTCTAACCTAAAAGCCTGAGCTTATATACTAAGTACTCTAAATCATGTAACAAGCAGAACAAGTGGGACAGATTAGTATTCAGGTGAAGGGGAACATTGACTGGACAGGAACAGGTGCTGGACTGAAGGGATCCTCCCACGACAACGAACAAAATAGGAACTGGTCCTCCTAGGACGACCTCTGGGGTGTGGAGCAGGCTTGTCTGGATGTTGGGTATGGAAGTCCGCGATCAATCCTGGGTCCAGGACATCACACGCTGACACCCAACACTGGTTCCTCTGGCCCGTACCCCTCCCGGTCCACCAGGTATTGAAGTTGACCTCCACGTCTCCGGGAGTCCAGCAACTGCTGAACAGCATAGGCTGGGGCTCCATCCACCACCTTTGGTGGGGAAGGGGTGTCATCAGGCGAAGCCTTGTCTGAAACAACAGGTTTGAGACGGGAGACATGAAAAAGTGGGACACACGATAATGAGGGGGTAAATCAAGTTTTTATGTGACATCATTAATTTTCCCAAGAATTCTAAATGAGCCAATATACTTGGGATTCAATTTCTTGCTCACCTCAGTCCCTGGCGGAGAGCCATACCCGGTCTCTGGGTTGGTAAGAAAGAGGTAGTCTCTCCTTGATGGTGGTCAGCTTAGTTCTAGTGTTGCTTAGCAGAACAAAGATATTTGAGGTTCTTGTGCTTAGTTAGAATGGTGAATGGATGATTAGCCCCCTCTATTCAAGGACTGCCCTTCAAAAGGGTGGGCTGCTACATTACTAAAACTGTGAACGAGATGCCGATAAAAGTTAGCAAATCTAAAAAGCATTGTAACTCCTTGAGGAGTGTGGGTTTGGGTCAATTCAACACTGCGTCAATCTTATTGTCATTCATCAAAACCCCATTAAAACTCACGGCATAACCAAGAAAGTCCACAGGCTGTAAATGAAATTCACACTTTTCACCCTTGACTGTTCTCCACATCTTAGGACAAAACAGACATGGCTGACATGAGATTCAAGGACTCTCTCAGTTTCCGAGGGAGGCGCTGGCACTGGGTTTTACTGGGTTTCATCTGACCATCCCGGCCAACTGCTCTGCACTGGAGTCCATCTCTGCACCTGGTTGGTGCACCTTGATACGCCAAGATTTACTTCAAGACTCACCAACGAGAACAATCTGAAAGTCCCATCATTCACTGCGGCACCATCACGAATGCCAGCAATACTGACCCACAGCTGAGCACTTATAAGTTCTCCTTTTAAAGGAGATGGTGGACTAAACTCTGCTTTAGACGAGATGAGAAAAATCTAATCTGCTCATTTAATACAAATAATACCTAATATGAAAGTTTGTGGAGTGGCACGGTGGCGTAGTGGGTAGCGCTGTCGCCTCACAGCAAAAACGGCCTGGGTTCGATTCCCGGCCGGGCGACCAGGGTCATTTCTGTGTGGAGTTTGCATGTTCTCCCCGTGTCTGCGTGGGTTTCCTCCCACAGTCCAAAGACATGCAGTCAGGCTGATTGGACATGCTAAATTGCCCCTAGGTGTGAATGTGTGTGTGTGTGAATGTGTATGTCTGTCTGTCTGCCCTGCGATGGACTGGCGGCCTGTCCAGGGTGTATCCTGCCTTCCGCCCAATGACGGCTGGGATAGGCTCCAGCACCCCACCGCGACCCAGAAGGATAAGCGGTTTAGATGATGTATGTATGTATGAAAGTTTGTTCTGACATTTGGTTAGGACCAGGCTCCGTTTAGACTATCAGTAACCTTAATACCCAGCTTTGGTAGTTTTAGCTAAGTCAGCAATGGCCAAGCTGAAAGGTGTATTTTTAGCATTATAGTTCACACCATCGATAGGAAGTAAATCATTTTATGATCAAGTTTGATGATGAACTTGATAGAGTTATGTTGGCATCTGAGGATGGGCACTTGGAGATTGACTTTGGAGAAACGTTGAGAGGACTTCATTTTATGAAAATATAATGTGTACACCAATTTATTTAGTAAATTATTTTCTGCTCATAGTAAGTTTGTTGATTTATGTTTTTTTGGGTTGTTCCTTTTGTGTTCACTCCTGTAATTTCAGTCTGTTAGCCCCTTACTAATATTTTAAACACCTTAAAATTAAGAGTCAAAAGGAAAATAATTAAGTGGCTGTGGTTTTCACAACACCACAGCTGAAGATAAGTGGCACCATAGTGGATATCTCTCCTTCGTCTTTCTCCTTAGCCTGGCTTTTCTCTGGATCAGCGGTCAGCTCAGCAATGACTCATTTATCACAGTTGAAATCCAGGCTTTTAATCACAGTGTATCTTGCTGTTGGTTCCTGAACATTTAAACAGCACACTGCTGTCATCAAAGTCAAAGCTGACTGTAGTTTGGCTTTATTCTAGCAAAAAAAAAAAAACAAAAAAAAAGGCCCTCATATCATGTTCTGTGTTGTCACTGGTAATGTACAAAAGCGTTTTATATTCCATGCCAGGTAACTTGTCAAGAACATTCTTCATATTCTTGGTAATGAGAGACACCCCTTGAATATTGTAATGCAAGTTGGACAGTGGACGATGACATCAAGCAAGAACACAAGAACACAAGAACACACGAGCGCATAGGATGAATATGCTTCTCACAGCCTTTGTAAGAGCAACAAGGCAATCAGGAACTTGTTTCAGAGGAACACTGTTACAATCCCAGACGTTGTCTCGTATCAGAACAGGTTTGTTGAAAATATATCCTGGAGGAAATATATCCTGGAGTGTGGCCTTTGGCCTGTACAGTATTTCTTTACCAATAAAGTGAGAGAAGTGTCTTACAGGCTAATTCATAGAATCTATTCACTAAAAGCTTTATGCAAAGAATTCAAGACACCCTTCATATATTTTGGTTCTGCAGGCACACAGAGAAATTCTGGTCAGACATTCTGAACTTACAACCCCATTTCCAAAAAAAGTTGGGACGCTATGAAAAATGAAGGTAAAAACAAAATGCAAATGATATGCAAATCAATCAACCCCTGTATTTAATTGAAAATACTTCAAACCCAACATATCAAATGTTGAAACTGAGAAATTTTGTTTTTTTGAAAAAAATATGCTCATTTTGAATTTGATGCCAACAACACGTTCCAAAAAAGTGGGGTTAATGGCAACAAAAGGCTTGTAAATTGGTGTAATCTCGGTAAGATAGTTGTGCTAGCAAGTTGTTTAGCTAATGTTGACGTTAAAAGCCGTTCAACTTCCTGCTATGAGCTGAGCTGTAACGTCCTCTGTTTTGAAATGCAAGTAACTATTATTCACAACGACCCTGTTGACACTCCGAATGACATTTTCAGTTTTAAAGTATTGTTTATTACAGATTTAAAGTATTGTTTATTGCATTTTAACGTCGAGGCTACAGGTGCATCCAAATTCGACGGACATAGGAGAACGTTTGCAAACAGTTTTCTGTTTACCTTGAGTTCTCCACTAACGTTTGCCTCCACTCACAAACAGTTTCAGGGGGTAGTTCTCCGGGAACACACAGGGGAGCATGACGAAGGGTTACCATTGAAATGGAACGTTTAAACAAAATCGTTCAAATTTAACTGATCAGAAAGAACAATTTTGCCACAAATGTTCACCACTGCTGGCCAAATTTTAACGCAAATCATGTTTATGGCTGGAGATAGTGTTGCTCATAGATATACATACATAGGTGTCAATGGCGCCGCCAGTTTGGGCCATCAACATGGCTGCTGGAGTGTGTTTAGTGCCATCAACAGAGCGGTGGTTTAAGAAAGGTGCTGTCCAAAATTATACTATTTCAAGAATATTGCACTCAGAAAGTGGGATAGGATTATATAACAGAGGGAATGCAGTGATCCACACTCATGTTTGTGTGATGTTTATCATTTCTGTGATGTTTGTGTGTAGAGGCGGTGTGGTTGGTGAGGCACAAACGACCTGTTGGTGTGATTAATGGAAAACTGATTTAATTTTGTTACATTTTATTACTGCTACTTTGCACATCCTTGGTTTTATATTTGGCAGGAAAAAGATGTTGTTTTATTTGTCTTATGTATTAGCAGGAAAGTTAATTAAAAAATGAATTTTTAAATAAAACATTCATCTTTATTGTCTTCATGGTTAGTTAGCAAATGCATAAGACAATCTCAAGCTAAATTTACAAGCTACATTTGTGCTATTTGGTAACTGAGTGATTCATAATCTAAACAGTTGATTATTCATTTCAATTATCCAAAAATTATTTGACTATCAAAAAAGTAGTTTGTTGCAGTCTTGCTACAGAGCACCACCAGTAGCCTGTTCATGAAGTAATGTTCTTATTTGACGGTTGTCTTATTTTGTAGAGGAAGATTTGCACTACTACTCCCTTATAACTCAGTTCCAATATGACACTCGAGAACCATGGGTAGGGGTAAAAATAAGAAATGGGCTTGGGCCTTGGTATTTTCCAGTTTCCGACACTCGAGTGCATCATTAGAGTCAGAGCTGCAACTTCCACTGACCCTTTTCCTTCTTAGGCCAATCAAGTAGAGCTAACGCCTCAGCTGGGAGGGGCTACGGCAGACAGCAGAGAAAGCAAACCCAAAAAACCACAAAAAAACAAAGTGCTCAAACACTCTGACTCAGTCAAGTGGACACAGTGGTCTCATACAGATGTGCAGAGACACTGGACTGTAGATGATGGAGCTCCAACCTTCAGCAGCTGCACTAACTGCTGTGATACTGACACTCATCTACTCATCCACTGCAGGTAGGACTCCAGTCCAGGTAGGACTCAGGCAGCAGTGCTTTAACTTACAATAGAAGCTCTCACTTTCATACTACATTCATATACCCACTTACTGCTCAAGTGGGACTGTTTTTGTTTTCTGTGTGTAATATTCTGAATTTATGTCTGGTATATTTGTGTATATTATGTAGATGTTCTCTGTATTGCCAGTCTTGTCCATAATTAACATGAAATGACACCTAAACAGAGGAAACCACACAGGTTTACCACACAGACCAATCCAAAGCTGACATTGTTAAAGTTTATTTGTGGCTTTGGAGAAAACAATGTCCTGCCATCTGTCATTGTATGGGTGTCTTTTAAAAGTCCATCTCTTGACCAAAATATAAACTTACAAACTGAAACTCTACATCTGAGTTCAGAAATCAAGGCATTGCTTCCTAGGGAAAACGAGTGGTTTTCACAGGAAAAAGAACATTTTTGAGATTCAAAGCTCACAGGGAAATAAAGAATCCCTGAATGATCCAATTCATTGAGTTCAACAAATGAAATATAGTTAATCTCTGTACTGCTCTCCTGGGATTTTGCCTTAATTGTTAAAAATCTGTTTCTTATCTTATAAAAGTCAGAAGATCAGTCTGGCAGTGATCTTCATCAATGAATACAAATAGAAGCCATTCTAAAACTCTGCCTGCCCATCATTTGTGTTTTATCTGCTAATTTGCCTGTAGTTGTTCCTATGGTTTCACATTGGTGTGTCATGCTTGGACTTTGACGATGGTGATTTATAGTCACCACTAATCAGCTCTCAGCTGTTTCAGCAGTTCACAGAAATCAACATGTTCTAAGAGTTTAAAAAGAGATGATCTTACATGAAAACTGAGTTGGAGCAGATTTTCTTAGTTACAGATAATGATTTACACATATTAACATTTTGCACCCATCATTTAAAAAGTACTAAATTACGAATATTAAACTTTACCACTCATGAGAGTTTGCCATTTTTTCATGTTTCAGAACTGTTAATTAATGTTAGTTCACTTCAGCATTAAAATCATTCAGATGAATGTTCGCAAAAATTAGATTCATAACTAGTAAAACTGTAGAATTTTACACAAACAAGAATAAAATAATTCACTTCCAGATCAGTACATGACTTATTCAAATATCTTTGGGGAAACACAGCACATTTCTGTTCTACCAATCAAAATAAAATACTCAATGAACACATACGGAAAAAATATATTCCAAATATATTTATCATATATATTTTTGCAATATATGAAAATGGCCAAAAAATGTACTTCTTAAATATATGTTTAAAATGCATTCATTTGTATTTGTTATTCTATTTTTCAATTGTACGTAATTTTAATAAAGGTTAAAGATATACTTAAATATACATGAATTGAAGGAATGGTATTGACTTCTGTGTTTGCACTGTACTTTGCATTAACTGTGTCCCTATGTGGTAAGACAGTGCTGAGTCAAACTGTAATAGATAAAAAAAATGTAAATAGAAAGCTATCAAATCATCAAACTGCATTTTCAGAGTGTATCAGTACCTACAACACTTGATTCTGCCATATTAAAGGTTAATTTGCTAATAATTAAAATTAAGACATTGGAATACAAATTCATTTCAAAACATATTCCAAACAGTGAAGTGTATTTTGGCCATTTTCACACTTTCAAGTGTGTTTTATAAATACATTTACATACATTTGTTTTTCTATAGTACATATCTATGTGTAACATATCCTCATATATTTTAAAATAAATGCATTTTAAAATACATTTTGTCAATATGGTCATATATATATACTGTAAGACATTTTAGTGTTTTGAGTTTATTTCGATATGGATTGTTCCACCATCAGCGTTGCCCTTGTCCCCCCTGAGAGGCTACTGAAGTGCACTGTGGGCAAGTACGGGCTGTGAAACCAGGAAAAGAGAACCCATAACAGGACACAGTTTTAGCTGGCTTCTGGGAAAGAAACTTGGGGCCTATTAGAGCCATGATTTTCTGCATGCAGCTGGTGAGCATGAAGCAGAAGGTCTGCAACAAACAAAATAGGTATGGCATAAGAGCAACAGTACAATTCTCCAAAGCTTGTTTACAAATAATCTTAACCTGCTCTGGTTCAGGTGGGGGATTTCTGAGTTTGGCAAATTCACATAGCATGTGTGTGACTTGTGCATCTGACCACTGACCACTGGAGAACTGCTACCCAGTGGTCAGTAATAAACATCGGAAGTTCAAGTTTAGACTTCTGTAACAGTGAAGTCAGAACTCATGATGTATTACTGAGAACAGCTGAATCAGACAGTAGGTGACCCTGAACAGGAGGCTGCATACTGTCTGATTCATCTGTTCTCAGTAGTTGTCTGTGCAGCAAGTAACATTTGACTTCGCTCCAATATAGGGCACGTTATGCAAGCTGAGCTCAAGTCTGTGACTAGCGCCACCAGATACATGGCTAGTCTGGGCTTTGGAATGACGGGCACTGCCGTGGACTTCAGGTTTACAAGTGCTTGTCTGAGCAAATGGCTGCCCTTTATATAAGTGGACCCATACTAGGGTTGGTCCAATTGTGTGTAGTCAACCTGGGTGTGGATGTGCTCAATGGGACAGTCCACGTAACAAAACTGCACTGAGAATGGGGCTTAGGGTCATGAATCCACTGCTTAAGAATTTCTGTTTACATGTGTAAGGACATACTTGAACAGTACCTTAACAATCTCACTTCTTGCCTCGATAAGTGCACTTGCTTCTCTAAACTACTAGCATGTGGTTCAGGTATAATGTCATTGTCACTGTCAGCCACTTATGTAGTATATTGTAAACAGTATCAAATACACGAATAGGATCAGGAACACGGCTTTAGAAGGCATTAAAAGGAAAAATCCTTTGAGATGAAAATTTTAAAATCTCACTTTTCATACACCCATGAAAATTCAAACAGTGATAACAACGGTTGTAAAAAGAAATACTCTTAAATGATTATTTCTTATGGGAGTCACTGAAGGATACTGTACAGCTGCTGTTGATCAGCACACAAGTTCCAAGTGCAGCTTTGTGAACACACCCAATTTCAGATATGCAGTCTCTCAGCACTGATGTCACTCCTTTTCAGCAACAGCGTTTCGAATCTGCCAAGTCCACTCCTCGAACAGGAATTTAACTCAATGAGGAAAAAAAGGGAAAACAGGCCTGAAGACGACTGCGAGAAAATGAAATGGAAAAAAAAAAGTTTAAATACCCCATCATTGTTGGCCATGGGGAGCGGGAAAAACGCTTCTTTTCTCCAAAACAAAAATATAATTGTCAGGTGCAATACCCGCCTTAGTCACCAGAGGTCAGCCTCACCTGAGTATTGACTTGCTTCCTAGTGACACCTTGACCTATCTCACCTGCAGCTCATTAACCTCCCTTTATAAGGACCTTCACTCACACTGGATCTCTGTGAAGTATTGCCAGTTCATCGGTGTACCAAGCCTTGCTTGTTCTCATCTGTTGGAGTTTTTGGATTGTCTGGACCCTTTTCTGAACTCTTTGACTCTGTTTTTTGAACTCCCTTTGGTACCTTTGCTGTGTTGTGATCTATTCTGTTTTAAATTTACTTTTTGGACTGTCTCTAACTCCGATTCTGGTTTTTGTGACTTTTGATACTGTGTTCTGAGTAAACGGGAATCATGGATTCAAACCCATCTGGAGAGTCTTCATTACAATAATTCATAAAATTGCATGGTATTGCACTGGTTTATTCTCGACAGCATTCTGACTTGTGATTAGGCAAGTATTTCAAGCCTGGTAGACCAACTGGGAAATCTGTTTGCTGCACAGAATGTTTAACTCGCATTTTGTCTTGAATTGAATTAAATTAAATTAAATAGTTTTTTTGTTGTTTTATACAGTTTTCTGTTTAACTTTCCATTGATTTTCATGGCTTACTTCAGTGTATTTTGCTGCGGGCCACGCATGGCGCACAGAAAAAATCAGCTCCTGGTCTATTCTCTAAACACAGCGCTGCTTCAGTGCGGCGTCTGGGACGCTCTGCTGCTTCACACGAGCAGTCCTGCTGAAAGCGCCGACCACTTATCTTGGGTGCTGAAATGAAAAATTTCCGCATCACTCGAGCCATGCAGGTGCAGTATGTATGAATCAGACCCAAGTTATGAGAATTTGCGTGTTGTTCACGTGATAAGTTGCTTCGCAACTCTTTAGAATGACTTCATTTTAATTGCTTTACTGTTATCCTTTTATATTGTTTATATGATTTAGTGATTGTTCTACTTTATTTAGGCTGTTCATTTATTTGCAAGATTTCTTTTCATGTGTGCTTCAACCCACTCCCACACACAACACTGAAGATTAGATATTGGGGCAGGTGTAGTGCAGAGATCGACTAAAAACATTGAGGCTCAGTCTGTCTTTTCTAGATAACACTCTATACAGTGTAGTAGATAATTTAATGATAGCATATCATTGTTTAGATCCACGTTACTTTCTGGATAGCTTAGAAACAGACTATAAGTGCATATGCTAGAAACAGCAAGCTATAACTCTCTTGTGCTCTCGAGCACATGACATATTACATTCTTTACAACGTTGTAAAGATGTTAATTAAGATTGCTAGTTGTAATCTAAAGACTGTACTCATAAACCTTTTATTATAGCACATGTAGATTTACTAGTTTGAACCACACCCCAAACTGAGCTGGAGACAGAGGAGGGGGAACTCTGAGAAGCTTTGGCAGGAGTTCTGGGTGGCTTTTTTTTTGTGTTTGAGAGATCGAAAGTCACACATCCCTCCTCCCCACTCCATCAGCTGGACTGTGGCTCTGCTGTTACAGCTACACAGAGAGAGTCTGAGAGAGAGGAACATGTTTTTTTTGTTGACTGTAAAGGATCTGAGTCTGCGCTGAGGGAATGCAGCTTTATGGGAGTTTCTGGATCCTTCCGTTATGCAGTATCTGTGTGTTCAGGTAATTCAGCAAATGGAAAAAAAGAAGTAACGTTTCCAGCAGGAATCTGTTGTGTTATTAACTCAAAGGTGTAATTAACTCGAGGAGACAGACAGAAATCACTGTTTGCAAACAGACCCGAAAAAATTGCTTGTAATTTAAATGTTTATATTTTTTGAATCAGCTTTGCCAACAATATTGGTGAATTATTTTCATTGAAATGTCAGTCATTTAAAGTGAGTCCAGTTTGGCTTTTGTCTAATTAAATGTCTTTCTACTCTTGGAGTGGGCGGCATCAATAAGGATTAAATGAAACAGAACTTGCATAAGGCACGGCAGGTTTACTCAGTACTAATCTGTATGTTCTCAGACTCTGTGAGGCTTGTGGATGGAGCTGGACGCTGCTCTGGGAGACTTGAGGTGAAGGCCCATCAGTCCTGGACCACAGTATGTGAGGCTAGCTTTGACTTGCAGGATGCAGAGGTAGTCTGTAGAGAGCTGGACTGTGGACCTCCACTAACTCTACAGGGGGCACTCTATGGAGAAGGTAAACACCCGTTTGGGAACAAAGAGTTCCAGTGTAAAGGCACAGAGAACCGTCTCCTTACCTGTAGCACCTCAGACAGAGAGGAGCAGAACTGCACACATGGCAAAGCTGTTGGACTCACCTGTTCAGGTAGGAATTACACAATTCATGAAGTAATAATAATAATAATAATAATGATAATAATAATAATAATAATTTGTTGTGCTGCAAGTTGTAAGGGATGTATTGTTTCATTTTGAGCATTCACCTTGTTTTCCTGGCTGTTAACGAATTACTGAACAATATCACCAAAAAAAAATTCACTCAGACAATCTTTTATTCCATGTCAATAGCTTTATGGTGCACTACATAGAGTGAAACGCCCCCTAGAGTTGTGTTCCATTGTGGCTAATTTATTCAGCCTGTGACATTCAACTTTCATAGTCTGCAGTCAGCGCTTGTTGGGGCAGGTAGTTCAGTTCAAAAATCTGATTGGCTGAGACATGTTTGAAGACACTGTAGAGACACTGTAGTATGTCATTTCATCGCAGTGTTTAATGCAGAAATGTTTAAAATGCTTCATGAGAAGCCTTTTTATCTGATTCTTTCACCTCTGCAGTAATGCTAGTTTCTATTAGCACCCTTGTGGGATTCACAGTGTTATGCTAACAGTTGTACATGGACATTAGACACATTCAAGTATGATTTTCTGTTTTATACTCCGTGTTGCTCTTCTACAGTAATGGTTTTGATGTTCTACTCATGGTGTTTTTAAAACGTGCAATACGTTTTATGATGGTGGCGGTGTAGGAGAGCAATTTGTTGTACTGTCAGGGCTACCTGAGGTTTTGTGGATAGAAAGGTGACATTAATGCAGTCCCAAATGACTCCATTTACAGGGAGGGGCTGTCAAACTGTGTAGGCAGGTGATCCAATGATGGGATGGGAGGACTGGAGGAGCTGGGGCAAGGGTGCTGCAGAGCACAGGCTTCATACATGAAATGTGAGGTTAATGCGCATGGAACACAGAAGAAGCAGCCAGTAGGAAGCATCTCAAATGGGCCAAGCTTCCGGGCCTCCACTTATAGTGGGAGGTCTTTGGTGGAGAGCCAGAACCTCTTTCCTGGCCTAAATGTGGGTCTGCCTCCTCAAGTCACTCCATGTTTCTGGACCACAGGGCCAGCCTATAGAGCTTTCTGGGCTCTCTGCGGCACACTCTGCGGCAGTGTTGTACAAAATGTACCAGTAAAGGGACTCCCACACCTGCCTCCTGGTCAGGGAACATAGGAGGAGCATAGCCAAAGTGACACTCAAGGGGAGACATACCTAAGGAGGAGTGCCATAGAGTATTGTGGGCATACTCTGCCCAGATAAGGTGCTAAGACCAGGAGGAGTAGTTGGATGAGGCCAGATAGTGCAGGGTTTCTTTGGGGTCCTGACTGTCAGGGGAAGCCGGTCAGACACTGTGTCCAATGGTAACCCATGGATCTAAACTACATGGTGGAGGAGTAGTCTTGCACTTTCCTTAGCTGAGGAGAGGGGAGTGCAATAAATTTGCAGGCCTGGGTGAACCGGTCAACTACCACCATTAACATAGAGCTGCCTTGGAATGCAGGCAACCCTGTAGCAAAGTTCATTGAGAGATGGGAACACAGATGTGAAGAAAGAGGCAGCAAACCTATCGTTCTCACCCAAGGCTTCTTGTTGCGGGCACAGAGTTGGCAGACACTTGCTGTTCCAAGCGAAGCCACCAAAACCACCAGGAACTCTGGTGCGTGTAACCATTCAATGGTTATGCGAATGGCGAGGCATACCCCCACTGAAGGACCTGGGTCCTAACTGAACCACCTCGGTCTTGGCCTGGCCCTCTGAAACAATGAAACCCAAGAAAGCTACCGATCGTGCATAGAAAAGAGATTCTGCAATTGAATATGAAGTTGTTTTTCCAAGAGCAGCTGGAGAATCCTTCCGACCTGTGCAACTGAAGATAAGGATATCATCCAAGTACACAAACACACAGCACTCAAGGGCTTCCCTGAGGATCTCATTGTTGTAATGCTGGGTCATTCATCAAGATTAAAGGCATTACAAGGTACTCATACTGGCTTGATGGAGCGATGAAATGCATGTTCCATTCATCACCCTGTCTAAACCAGATAAGGTTGCATGCGCTGTGCTGGTCCAGCTTAATACAAATAGACAACTGCTGCAGCACCCCAGAGGTGGTTTTCATGGGGGTAGGGGGTAGTCCCCATTAGTCTAGTAATGATGTGTAGGGCTGTATGAAACCTCCTGACTATACTCCTCCATGGCCTTCTTCTCTGGGCCTGACCAAGGGAACAGATTGCCTTGGGGAGAACTAGTTCCAGAGAGGAGATCACTGGCGCAATCAAATGTTCGATGAGCTTGGTTGGAGGGCTAAAGACACACCTCCTTGGCACTGGGGTCCTCAGGCTGCCACAGACTGAGATAACCAGTTGATACAGGGGTTGCGACGCTGCAACCAGAGGAAACCCAGCTCAAGCTGCAGTTCGGGAGCATTTATAAGGAACAAAGAAACTTGTTTTGAATGCTGCCTGATCCACAGCGGGATGGTCTGTGTCTGCTGGGAGACTGCTGCTGGTTCCAAGGACCGCCTATCAATAGCCGACAGGCATAGGATTGTCCAAAGAGATAATGGGTAGGCCTAGGGTTTTAGCAAGGGCCATGTTGGTCAAATTCCCTGCAGCCCTTAAGTCAGCAAAAGCTCTGAGATGTTCTTCCCGCTGGTTTCCCCAGGAGACAGAGATGTTCAGGAACACCCCAGATCTTAGGGGAGGGGAGGCCTCCCATCCCATGCCTGACCGGGGCTTTTCCCTGGAGCTCAAGGCATGAGGCACACAGATGATCAGACAGACCACAATACAAACACCGGATTTCTCTTTTACATGTCTCCAGTTCTCCAATGCTAAGTCTAGCTGCCCTGGCTTGAACTCGACCAGGTTTGGTAGGTAGGTTGTGGAAGGTGGAACGGAGATACCACCCATAGAACACTGGGAGCAGATGGCCTCCGGCAGAACTCCCATAACCACAAGAAGAGGTTAATGAGAATCTCTAGAGACAAAGAAGCATCTCTAGGAGCTCTTCATTGAGCTCCTCACTCAGGCCTTGATGGTAGGCAGTCTAAGTGTGGCTGTATTCCAGTTACTCTCAGCCACTAGAGTATAGAACTCAGTAGCATAGTCCAGCACTGATGTCCTTCCCTAGCATGTGCAAAGGAGGTGGGGACCAAACTCACGTACACAGACCGGGTTGTCGAATGTACAGTGCAATGCGATCATAAGTGATTCAGCAGAGACACAGACGTTAGTTTGGTTCTCCCACACAGGTATTGGAAAACTACAATTCCCACCAAATTCACTAAGGCAAGATGGAGAACAAAGGACTGCCAGGGAAGTTTCTTCACACAGTTGTTTTTTTTTTCTGTTCCTTTTGAGCTGATTGGTTATTGGTCTCTCTTTTTTTTGTCGAGAGCACACTCTAGCACACTCTAGTCACTATAGTCACACTCATTGCCCTCTAGTGGCCAGTGCAGGTCGAGCTTTGGACCAGGCCCTTACAAGGGGACAAAAGCATATGGGAGTTCTTTAAATATGAAGTTAAAAACTGGGCAATTAAACTAAATAAAGAACTTGAGTGATGTAAATGTCTAGCAGGCTGAACCTTTAAATAAATTGAAATCTTCAACACAGTTTATTGCCGGAAGAAGAAGGAGACATGAAAAATATTCAATTGGAACTGGACCAGATAGAATTAGGGAAAGGGTACTTTTATTCACTCAAGAGCCAAATGGCTTGAAGAACGTGACAAACAATGCCAGTGATTATAGTAGAGAAAAGTAATTATAAAGAAATTCTTTAACATGTATTGACATTAATAATATACAATGTACAGACTCTAAACTAATTTCTGAATTTGTCTCTTCTTTTTAGGAAATGTTATGTACATCTCAGTTTAACATAACATGAGATATCTTACTGCCACAATTTTTCACCCAACAAAATGTTGTGGAATTACTTCAACATACACTGACATGCCAGAAGTCATGGGATAGCAGTATGTAAATCGATCATAAAGTGGCATTACTTCAGGGGACGGCTTGGGAATGCCCACACCTGTGTGTTGTGAAGTGTTATCTTGTGAGTGAGCTTGAACATTGGCCAGCATTCTCAGGGCAATGTGACGTGATTTATCGGAGTTCGAAAGAGGCATGATAGTGGGTGCCAGACGGATGGGACATTCCATTTCCAAAGTTGTGCAGGCATTTAACATTCCTCAATCTACAGTGTCATGTGAACCGGGAATACATCAAAGAAGGCATAACTCCCCACAGTGGACAGCGCAGTGGCTTAATGATCATGACCAGTGGCGTCTGGACAGAATTGTGTGTGTGAGCAGACAAGTGACTCTAGGAGAACCACATTCAATTCAGGCCCCACCTGCATATCCCGCAGGTCAGCGCGGTGTTCTTTACCTTCCATGGGATATGGGAGCAGAAGACCCACCAGAGTGCCTCTGTTAACACCGCAACCCCAGCCCCAGTGCCTTTTTGTGAGGTTGCCAACTGGACCCTAAAGGTCTGGCAACATGTGACATGGTCCAAGGCGTAAAGGTACCAATTGTTTTGGGCTGATTGTAGGGTTCTTATGGCACAGATCCCTATAAAGTCATGGACCTCAGTTGTAAACAAGGCACTGTGCAGGCTGGTGGTAGTTCCATACAGGTCTGGGGTGTGTTTTCATGGCATGGGTTGCTGCACTTCGCTGGGCTAGAATGAATCCTACAGGATACTAGTTCATGTTTCAAATGACTTTTGGCATGTCAGTGTATGTAGAGCGAATAAAGCACTATTTTGTACAAACTGGCATAACAAAGGTATTAACCAAATGTCCGATTTTTTTGATGCAGAGGCTAATATGATACGAGCAGATCATGGCGTGGTGTTGTATAGTTTCCCCGTCTGATACAGAGACCTTCATTCCCCTTTTGGAGCTATTCCTAACAGTCTAATTGATTTAATGTCATGTGGTACACAGTAAAATTAGATACTTACAGACTAATTTAGCTAAAAAACATGATAATAAGCATATACATGAAATTTTACACAGCATTTCTTACAGAGGAACATTTTTTTGGAACATTTTAAAATCCTTCATACAATTTCATACATGCAAACTCAGTACTCAGTAAATATTCAGCAATAGAAAATATGTGTACCTTTGGTAAGCAAAGTGAAGAAATGTTTATTCTTCGAGAGTCACTTGACTGTTTTTTGTAAATATTCACTCATTCCCATTTGATGCCTGCAACATGTTCCAAAAAGCTGGGACCGGAGCAACGTTTACCATTCTGTTACATCGGCTATCCTTTTAACAGCTTTTAATAAACATTTGGGACAGATTTTTCTGCAGCCTTACAGGGCCTTCACTGTTATATTTTGTGCATCAATATGTGCCAGATGTGTTTAATAGGAGACAGGTAGGCCATTCAAGCACCCACACTCTCTGATTATGCAGACATGTTGTTGTAATGTTGCTTACTGTTGTCATGTTAAAATAAGAATGAATGTGCCTAACAAGCACTGCGTCTAAAAGGCAGCATATCACTGTTGTCGGAAGAAAACCTTGTATCTCCAAAATGGTGACTTTACAGGAGAAGGATAAAACATACTTTACTTTTGATGTAAGTCAATGGAACCAGACATTTTCCCAAGTCATTTTGGGTCATTTCCTTTGGTCAATTCTTCATGAAATTTATACACAATGTAAAGAGCAACAGGCTTTTTCAAATTTCTTCAAAAACTGAAAAATGAGGTTTTCTTCCGACAGCAGCGATATGCTGCTCCGAAATGTGTATATATGTTTCCGTGTTAATCTAAAGGATGAAAGGTCAGGCATTCAGTTGTGGTTTATGCACAGAGATTTCTCTGGATTCCCCGAATCTTATGATGTTATTATACTCCATAGAGGATGAAAGGACTAAAATCCTTGCAATCCTTCATTGAGGAATGTTGTTCTTAAACTGTTGGATTATTAGCCAATGAGTAATTTTGGTCGAGCCGCGACCCACCCTCGCTCATAAAACACTCTGCCTTTCTAGATGCTCATTTAATAACCAAGCCTAATTGCATTACATGTTACTTCACAAAGTTCAGAGTCTTAATTTTTATGTAATGCACTGTGGGCATCAATTTGAGAATGAAATAATGTTTAAAAAACAATGAAGCTGATTAAAACCCTTGTTTTTGTACTGTTGTCATTAAAATATAAGTTAAAATGGATTTACAAATCACCGTTTTCTGTTTTTGAGATTGAAATTTATACATTATCATTGGATAGGTTATGTTTTGCCTTTCATGGTACCTATCAGCTGGATTTGTATGATTCAGTTCCATTGACAGCACATAAGAGACTTTACTGGTTCCAGTTGTTTTCAGTGGAAACACACATTTTGCTCACTGTTGTGCACAAAGGACAACACTGTCCAAGTAATTTTCAGGATGCTAGAAACAGTTTTGCTAAATGATAGAAGCGCTGTGGTATTGTACGTTATTACAGACTGTTAAACCCCTCGTCCACCCACCCTGACTGCAACTCCCCCTCCTTTCTGGAAACTGATGTTGATAAATACATTGCAGCACTCTTTCTCTGAAATCCTCTAATCCTGTGTGTGTTTCAGATTCTCTATCATCTACAATCATCAACATTAAGCTGCTGGTGTTCTTTGTGGTGCTGTTTCTGATGCTGATAACCTGCTTGACTATCTTCCTGATCTTCAAGACGAGTGGGTTACTTTCTTCATTAAAAACACATTAGGTGAGTGACTTCATTACCCAGAGAGAACAGCAGTCAACACTGTTTGAAGTGTAGAGATTATAAAATAAACATCATGTTTTTTAAACAGACGCACTCCAGTAGCTATTTATTTGTAGATCTGTAGAGACATTCTTGGTGTAACATCAATGTTTGTACAATAGCATCAGAAATGAATTATAGTTCCAGTGTTACATTTGGAGATTCCTCAACTATGATCGCTGGTGGTACTCCAGTAGCACAGTGGGTGAAGTTAAAAGAAGCCCCCTAATAACAAGCAGAAGTCAAAGAACAGATACATATACAGTCTACAACCTGATAACAATCTGTCGTTGGGAAGTGGAGACTTTTCATTGAAAAGACATAAAAGACTGGATGTCAAGTAACTTCCTCCTACTCAACTCAGACGAAACAGAAGTTCTTCTTCTATCAGTAGTCGATAGTTTTCACTGGTAACAGCAACTGATTCTTGTAGCTCTATTTCTCACTGTTACTCTGATAAGTCTCTAACAGTACTCATCAATTAACACTGGTTAACCCAATTAGTTCTTTCCAATGACAGGCTGGTTTCTTTTTTCCTTTTCACTTTCTTAAATGTTCCAATAAATGCAATTATTTAATATATTATTTTTAAAACCTTATTCTCGCTTGTGGTATTGTTTTGCTAACTGATGAGGAAGAGGAAAAGGGTTCCCCTTTTGAATCTTGGTTCCTCTCAAGGTTTCTTCCGCTTGCTTTAAGGAAGTTTTTCTTGCCAATGTCACCCTTATGATAAAAGAAAATCACAATTTTGACAAATGTAATTTTTTTGACAGTTTGTATTTAAAAAATTACACTGTTGTGTTATCCTGATCACCCACCAGCATCCCGTTGTGCCAAACAATGTCTGTCTATGCTATACACAATTATTTTATTTATTTATTTTTTTTACCATTGTCAACTAGGCCTGGACAATATCTAAATATAATTAGCATGATGCATTCGAATTTAAAATCATGATTACTGATGATATGTGCTTTTGGACACTATGTAAAATTGTAAAATGTCTGTTCCTGAGGGCATTCAGGTAATTTTGGAATCGTATGATTTAAGCAAAACTTCTTAGCTACGTGAAGAACATAAATGAATGGTAATGATATTTCTGACAGGTGTACACATATAAACCACAGAAGCCAGAGAACTCAGGAAAAATAGTAAAGGAATAGCAGTAAAAAGTAGTAAAAGTAAACAGTAGCTTTAGTAAAACAGTGATTGCAGAGCCAAATAGTCTCAATATGTGCTTTTAACAATCATTTGGAAAACTGTCAAATACATTACATAAACTTAAAGTTTTCAGAAATAGTAGTTTAAAACAATGGTTTTCTAAAAAAATATATTTGGTTTCAGATTTTTTGTTTATTTCCTTCATCAAACTAAGAATAATGTGACATGGCAGGTATTGACAAGTTTTTTTTTTTTCACTGAAATGTGTTTGAAAAACTCTCTTTTCTCTCTGGGCACAAAGAATGACAGACATGTGAGCACCAAACATAAGACAAGCTTTTTTCAGTAACGAGCAGTTTCTCAGTCTTAGTAAATCACAGTGTGTGCTTCATAATAATAATCACCTGTCAGTACTTTGTTCTTTGCAAGAGAAACTCCTTTTGTCTTTTGTTGCCCTTGTCTACTGCATATTGTAAAT